TTGTGCAAGGGTGGCGCAAGATTATTGCAAAATTTCATGTTTTCCGTCCCGTTTTGCATGTTTCTCGGAAGCAAAATGAGCAAGAACGCTCGTTTGTACATCATTCCATAGATAACTAAATGGCATTTATTCGAAGTTTCTCAAGAACCATTCGAGCCAGAGAATTCGTTTTGGCATCGTTGGATAGATAATTGAATGGGGGGGGTCATGACCCCCCCGTGACCCCCCCTTGGATCCCCCCTTGCCCCTTTTGTTTCACTCTTTAAATCGCTGCAACTGATCACGTTTTTCCCCAAATTTTGTCGCTATACGAAAATTCTTTTTTTGCTTGAATTTTAGTTTGGGGGCCGATGTAGGCAAAAATGTGGCCGAACGCCAGTACCATGGCATGGTAGACTGTATCGTAAAAACCTTCAAATCGGACGGTTTGATCGGTCTATACAGAGGATTCAACGTCTCTGTACAGGGAATCATTATTTACAGGGCGTCGTACTTCGGCTGTTTTGATACCGCAAAGGGAATGTTGCCCGATCCGAAAAACACCCCTGTTATTGTTTCGTTCCTCATTGCTCAGGTATGTATGGTGCATTGAAAAAGCCTATCGTGCATAAGTGTGAAATTGTTGGCGCGATTAAAACTAAATTTTCAGACGGTCACAATGTTTTCGGGTATAATGTCCTATCCATTCGATACGGTGCGTCGTCGGATGATGATGCAGTCCGGGCTTAAAAAGAACGAAATGATCTATAAAGGGACCCTGGATTGCTGGAGGAAGATCGCAGCACAAGAAGGTACCCCCTAAAACGCGCAACTGTAGTTCTAGGCTAAGTGGGCGTTGGTTGCAGGTTCAAGTGCGTTTTTCAAGGGAGCTTTGTCAAATGTTTTTCGCGGAATTGGAGCGGCGCTTGTACTGGTTTTCTACGACGAATTGAAAGCTCTTCTTTAAAATTAACGTAGCTTTTATGTCACTTAAGTTACTTGACTTGTTGGGCACACAGAAATAAAAATGTTCTCTTAGCTCCTATATAAAACACTAGCAACTAGAAGCGGCTCTTTGGCGTCGCATAACGAACAGCTCAAGTTGGAAAAAATGAGTTTTCACCCGCCAACCGAACCAGTGCAACTAAGTACATCAATCCTTAAGTTAGTAGCCATAGACTCCTAGCGAGTATGAGTATTCCCCAGGTTTTCACCATCCGAACCCGAAGGGTTTTACTTACATAAACGTACATCTAGATCAAGATTTTTAGTGGATTTTATCGCCCATCTGAACCTTCGACACCATGAAGATGCCGACGATCAGTCCGAAGAGGCCAATTGCACTGGCGAAAATCTCTATAATCAAGATTTTCACGAACAAACTTGCATTTGCTGCGTCCGCCAAGGCTGCGCCGCTCCCAACAATCCCCACACAGATGCCGCAAAGTAGATTCACTGTGCCTGATCAAGAAAAAAGGCGTTAAGTACTTAGGAGGGCGGAGTGAGAGTCGCAAATTTCTTACCTACTGATAATCCAGCGCCGAAAATCAAATATCCAGACAGCCAATTCTTGGCCTTCAAGCTGTCGTCTTTGACCACCAGGTCCCAAGTGAAATTGTCCAAATAGCCCGATAAAACAATGGCAGTAATCAGTCCGTAGATTGCCACTGCTTCGCAGAAGATTACTGAGATGAGGTTTTTTGTTTTGATTCTGGGAGCCTTTACACCTGGAATCAAGTAAATTACCTCTCAAATAAGCGGTTTCTTCTTCCATCTTCATCAAAATATTTACTTTGATCGTCTCTAACACTGCAGGAGCCAAGTTATCACTCCCGAAGAAGCGATTTTAACGATTTGTGTGTCACTATTTCTATTAATATTAAGAGAACCGGTTGAGGTACCCAGCTCTAGGTTTGATTGTCAGATGGAGCGTTAAATTTCTTAGTTTCTTGGACCAAACATTATTGTAAAAATGTTTTTAGTTTTTACGCAAAATGCGAAAGTTCGAGATTAATGCGCGTCTTCCAAGCCGCTTGTGTTGGCTCGTATTTAGAGCATAAAATTTCGAAACGATCAAGAAGTTTGAGCTAAGAAGTCACCTAAACTACTTTTCTGGTGAGCACCAACAATTACGGAGCCACTCTCCAGTCATTCTAAGCAAATGGCCCCGGTATCAAAGAATTTATCCAAAAATAGGCGGGCGCCTTAAAAATACCCACTGTTTACAAATAGATCATTCCGCAAATGTTTCGATTGAACTTGAGAGCGTTTTCCAGCAAAAAGCTTGGTTGAGGGGCATTAAAGTAGATGAAATTCATTCCAGGGTTTCAGTCATTTATTGTCTCTATTTATCAATCAAAATACGTTTCGGTGCATTTTTCCACCATCATCAGTTTTTATGTGTAGCGTTGTTGCTGCTTTAAGCCTTGGCATGCATTTTT